ATGCTCACCAAGGTGTTGACAAGTCTCTCCCTGAAGTCCATTCTGTCTGTGTAGCCGGTAAAGAGGCGGGGCACAAACGAGGCCGGAGAGGGGCACCCTGCAGCCTTCATGTCCAACGAACACGGAATGGCCCTCAGCACGTTAATGGTGGGGATTCCTGACAGTGATTTACAGTGACTGGTCACAGGGTGAACGGGTGCACATACCAGATATATGGAAAAGAGGGGCAACTCACCAAGTTTCCGAGCTATGAGTGAGCCAGTGGGCGCGATGGGAGACGTTAAAACAGCATCAAAACCCTGTAAAGTGAAAGGAGCTGCTATAAAGGAGATGAACGGAGCTAAAGTCAAGTTAACATTCATCTGGATTTCCCCCATAACAAAGCACATCTGGGGCAAATGTTTTTTAGGTACCTTCCATTGGTTTTATATTGGTCTTTGAGGTCAGCAGGAGTCCTGAGTGTGAAAAAATACCCAAGAAAACCCCAAAAATGTAATTTTGTCCAGTTTTGTGTTTACACTCACCTTCTTTGCCAGATGTGAGATAAGACTGTCATTGAAAAGCAGGCTCTCCGCGGTTGTGTGCACAAAGCCGGTTATGTTCTGAATCTGAGAGATTCTTCTCATGATCTTCTCCATGAACGGCTGTGTGGATTTCTGCATCATGTCCAAATGCATGGATGTTAAAGAATCTATACATGCCCTGTCGTAGGGAACAGGGTAAGTGATGGTGTCATAATGGTCCCCTGCCCCCAGCAGTAAGCTGACTTCTGGGATCACGACGGTCACCCTGTGGCCACGCCGTCCCATTTCTTGGGCGATAGCCTTCATTCCCACCCAGTGGCTCCCGTCCACAGGCACCACCAGCAGGTTCCCCCTAAAAGCAGGCGATGAGCCCCCACCGGGAACGTTGTCGGCTTCTTTGGCCTGGTCTGTTTTCTGTGGTTTGCTGCTTGCCGCCGCACTCCCCCTGGTCTGGCCTGCGCCGCCCACCTCTGAGGCCGTGCCCAGCAGAAGGAACACCAGCGCTGCTGCTTTCCACATCGAGTCCTCCGGGTACTGGGTTTACCTGGAGTTCACCTAATCCAAAAAGTAACAAAAGGAGGGGTAAAGTAAAAATACCACAGACTGTTTGTGTTCAAAGTCCTCACTATAAAAAGAGTGAACTGTCAATAACTAACCATCAGATATAGTTGTTGGGAGGTTGCCATGGATTCGGTTACTTTCTAGTGCATTTAATTGTTTCCTATGCTAAATAGAAAATGCATAGTCAAAGCTGTTATTACAATTAGGAAACTATGTCATCTTTATAGGTATATCTTTATAGCGTCTGCAGTGAACCCATTATTTTCCACAAGTGTAACAGACTGTTCTGCGTTTGTATGGAAAAGACAAACTGGAAAGATTTGTTGGCTGTTTTAAGAGGTTATTATTTTAGCACACAACCACTGAAGGCAACTGCAATGCTGGTTTGAAACTTTGGTTTAAGTCCGCTCGACATTACCTATATTCTGTTCATAAATGTGGCAAGAAAAACATAAAGACTTACAGGGAAACAACAGTGTGAAAACCTTTTTATGCCTGTTCTTTTTTTTTAACGGTATTTTTTCCACACAACAAAATGTTTCGTAGGGTGTCTATAAATTTGAGTTGTAGCGTGGGGCTAGTTTTATCAAGAAGACTTTTACCGTTCCATCTCTTGTCCAGTTGAGGGCGTCCACGCGCCATTTTTTAAATTAGATTTTTTTTTTTGTTTTACACAAGACTGTACGAGTGGATTGTCGAGCACGTTTGACTGGATGCCGGACCCCAAAAAGACGAAACAATCGATCGTTATTGTAAAAAAAAAACCCTGTTCCTACTCGAACATCTTTCAATTAATAATAGTGTCCTCGAGCGCCCAAGTGAGCAGCTTTTTGGTCTGGTGGTGGTCCGCGAGCCCATAACGGCTCGAGCCAGAATGTGAGCAACGTAAGCGCGTTTTTTTCATTTATTTGTTACGATTTTTAGATTTGAAAAGACAGCCGTTACGAGCATGTCAGAGAGGGAGCAGTGTGAGGGGGCAGAAGCGAAGTAAGTTTTAAACACAAAACCGGTCGATGTTCCTCAACTTGGAGTTTATTGTTTATTTTTAGCGTTGCTAGCTTCACGGGAATGCTAAAAAAAATAGCTAAACAAAAAAGCAGTTTCTAGGACTCGAAACGCGTTGTGGTCGGATATGCTGAGAGACCCAGGGCTTACAAAACAAACACAACATTTGGCAGTCGCTGGTCACCAGCTTTGCTATAATTTTCTGTATCGATTCCAAATAAGTTTCAGTGTTTTCGCCAAAATTCTAGTTTTGATGCTACACCATACATCCATTTTGGTATTAAAGTGCAGCTGAATGTGTCTTTTCAGATAAGGGCTCTACTGCAGTTTACAGGGAGAGAATAGAAGCAGATCTACTGCTCAAAGATGATTTTTGTCCATTGTGTATTGTGTGTTGTTGTGTGCTATTGGAGTAGTTAGAAGGAAGAATGTGGCAAAAGAGGAGAAACGATTTCCTTTCGAATAATCTGAATGTTTGTTCAAGGAAAGTCTTGTGTCTCCACAGGTATTTGGTTGACACCGATTGTGATGCAGATGGCTATGATTTATTCTATAATTCGTCAGGAAAAGTAACATACTATTGGTAAGTTGACGTGTTGTTGGATTTAAAACTCCACCAAGACCGTATGATTTAAGTGCTCAGTCGCTGTCTCTTGCTCTGTGTCCCACGTTGTCTTTTTGTCACAGGTCGTTTGAGTATTGCCTCAACTGGAAGGGAGCGATGCCAAACCGGCGCATCGGCAGGCAGTCAAAAGCCTCCAAAAAGAACAATGAAAAAGGCCCCGTGCTGAATGAGGAAGGGGCCCAGCGTAGGATGAGAAGTCAGAGGGTGAGAGCCTGGTTGAAGCAAAGCGAGGCACCCAAGTTCCCAGTAGACCCGGACGAGCAGAGTCACTGTGATATCCTCGACATCATCGACATCTCGTGCGGTGAGGAGCTGGCTGCGGACGCAGAAGCCGGAGGGGTCGTCGAGGTGGCCGATAATGGGCTGGACGATTCGAATGAGTGCGGCGGCTCTGAATGCAGCATAGCCTCTGGTCCCTCCTTTATGCATCACACCACCTCCAGGCCGCCGAAGCCCCCCCGGGCGCTGTGCTCCGCCTGCCTCGGCCTCTATGAGAGGACCAAGAGAGCAAAGGCACCCGTCAGAAACAAAGTCATGGACAACGGTCGGTGCAGCTGTGGTTTGAAAACGTGACGCATTGTGCATTGTGTTTGTCTCATGTTGTGTTTTTTTCCCTCATTAGATCCCCAGTCCCTGACATGTGACCGGTGGGTGCTGGTCAAAAAGCGGATGCCCAGAAGCCTGCCCAACACCAGACGGTGGGGGCAGTTGTGTCTTTGGTTGCTAGCTTCAAGAGCTGAATGCTGTGACTCACCTTTACCTCACTTCTTCATTGTTTCAGAGGACTTTTAAGCCTTTTGCAACTGGACACAGAGGGAAAGCAGCGTGTGGAGGTGTCCTTCGTTTGCTCCAGGCCTCATGTTTTCCTCATAAGGTAACGCAGTGACACACACGTCGAACGGGCTTCCGTTTTCAAGTAAAAGCAACTCATGAGCCGCGCTGTCCTGTCAGAAACCTCAGGTGCTGCACCCGAGTACCGGCGGGAAAACAAAGGAAGAAGAACCGGAGAAAGAGATCCCGAGAGGACTCCCAGGATCTCCGCGTTGCTAAGCAGCAGCGTCTCCAGAGACGGAGACGCAGCCGCCACCAGAAAATCGCAGGAAATCCCACGGGGCCCAGCCCAAACAGCTGTTCTAGCAGCTGGAACTGTAGCGGTCAGGAAATCGACAGTGGGGCTGCTGGAGACCCGACTGCTGAGGCCATCCCCGCGTCGGTAACCCAGGAAACCGGCAAGGCGAAAGATGCCCGAGACAAACGGGAATCCTCAAAGAAGACGCGTGGATTCAGAGACCTGCTGGCTCAGTTGCGAGGCAACAGCAGCATGATTGTCAGAGAGACGCGCTAGGCAGGCGACTCAGAGCTCACAGCTCCTGCTGAGGACCTTTGATGACTTGTGTTTACTGTTTCCATGTTCTTCTGCTGTTTGTTTTGCAGCTGGCTGTTGCTGTTTCATTCCCACTTTATGGAAAAGGAAGCGCTCCAGTTCCACGCTCTTCCCTGTTTGGTTTTTGTCTCATTTAAAATGGGGGTTCATTTACAAAATCGCACAGAACTTGAGAACTGTGAACATCTGTTGCTTTTTTAAAGACCAATTACAATAATCTGTAATCCATTTCCCTAAACCGGATCCATTCAGCAGCACTGAAGTTCATCTCTGGTTCCACAGGACAAGATGGCAGTTGGTTACAGGACCTCACTGGTCCAAATTAGTTGGAAGAAACTTTTTTTAAATTAACTTTGGAACATCATAACTGTCTGACATAAATATAGAAACATATACGCCATGATTTGATGTAAAAATGTTGTGAAAAGCAAGAAAATAAGCCTTTTCTTTTTCTTTTGTCGTTCCACATTCCAAAGGACATTTGATTGTTGTTACTCAGCAGCACAAACTGGAATGTTTATGAATAAATGCCACAGTAATGATTTATGATGAGGACACGTTTCACCTTTGTGTCTTTCCCCTTTTACTCTTATCTGGCTACAATACATTTGATATAGCCCGTATGAAACAACCTGATCAGAAATACTGGCTTCAGTTTTTCCACATCCTAACTGTGCTCAAAGGTTTTTGTGAGTTTGTAAGATCTATGAAGGCAAAAGCAATGTGTTACGTGACCAAAAAGGATTCTTGAACTGGTTTAAGTTTGAAACATGAATGAAAAGTATTTGGATCTTCAGCTCTAATATGTTCTCGGTACTGAAGAAAGAGTAATCAGAGCATCTGAGGAGTCTTAAGAACAGAAATGTTAAAAAAATAAAAGCCAAACCCGCAGTCTGAGGCCAGATCAGAACAATATTTGGCAGATATGCACTGATAGATAGATAGATATATTCTGTTTCTGCCGGTAAGACGCTTTTCCTCAAAGGCCCACGAGGTGGTGCTGTAGTTTAAGGTACTCTGAAACCAGAACAACTGACTGGTGTCAAATCTTCTGGGATGCTTCTTAACGTTGACACAGTCTTTATCTCTGACACCATCTCCAACCCCACAACATCCCCGTCTCTTCAAACCAGCCCGTTCAGCGTGTGGCTGTCAGCCAACCTCCATCTCCAGGCTGCTTAAGTTCCCATGAATCTACAAAACCGCTTCTCTGGTTACTGGCATCTCTCATGCCAGAAAACCCCCCCCCCCCAAAAAAACAGATGAGTTGATTAGTAGATTTTTTTACTCACTTAGAATAAAGAAAATGTGGAGTTTGAAGGCAGCAACACTATAAAAAAAAAACATTTGGAAGAGACAAGACTGGAAAAATTGTTAAGAGAAAAAAAAGGGGTTATGGCCCCTCTACTTTAGATGATTAGGAACAGCTCGATAACAGGATTTCTCACTTTCAGTCCATCACATCGTCGGTTACACACTTATAGTGATGTGTGTGTGGGTGGGTGGGGGGGGCACAGCCGTTACACAGGCGTGATGGACACGTTTGACAGGTCGCAGCCAGACAGCCGCAGATTTAATCTGTAAAGTTTAAGGTGAACAGAACTCAGCAAAAATGAAGTTAAACACAGTCTAAATTCGTTTGCAGTTTTTGTGAAAAATGTTGCACAGAATGGAGTTAAAATAGGCATCTACATCTACAGTCCACATGCCCCCCCTTTAAAAAAAAAGCCTTTAGAGTTTAGACAGCATTGTTGTGTTTTGTGTTTTCAGATCGCATGTGCTGATATTGCTGAATGTTGAGGAAGGGTGGGGAAAGGGAGCCGCAGATAAGGGGCCGGGGTTTTACTCCTGACACTTGTAACAGTTTCTCTGGAGTAGATTTGCTGTTTACCTTTGGGGATTAGTGAATTGGGAGAGGATGGGGACTTAAAGGCAGAGCATTCAGGAAATGTGTCCGCCGAGACACCCAAGTTTCCACCACTTGTAGATGACAGATTAAGGGATATAATCCATCAACTAAACCAGGCCGGTCTAGAAAATCTTTTGGAACTTTTGAAATCTTTGCTCAGCGTCGGTTTTCACAGGCTTTTCATTGGAATCTCCTTTTTTCCACGTGTGTTTCAGATTCGATCACGTCATCAAATTACATTTTTCATGTGCTGACAGGTGAATGAACGACGGCGCCATTGGCAGTTTGGGTTGCTGGAATCGCTCACTCTTGCTTTTAAAGCGTTAAGAACTGACCTTCAGACGGCTCTGGAGTGACTCACTGATATCACAAACACACTTGATGCTTCATTGACAGGGAAAGATCAGAGGGAGTCTCTGGGCCTGGTGTTTACCAGAGCTGAGCAACGGAAGGCCGATAGCCATCTCACACCCATTCAAAGAAAAAAAAAAAACGACCCGGTCTGCTCTCCACTTGTCCTCGTGCGTCTTTCATACGAGACCACGTACACGTGCTGGTGGTGACGCACTAAAGGAAAGGTGCATTCACACTCCGATGAGAGCCGCTCCTCCTGCTGCCTGTCCCGGCCTGACCGAGCACGGAGTTTGGGAAACCTAACAGGTTGCACCGCCTGGCTCCTCATTGGCTTTCTTTCCCATCGTTGGCCACACGGCAGAGGTCTCAGGGTTGAAACAATTCAAGCAGCGCGCACGCACGCACACACAGAAGGACTCTGCATCCTGTGGTAGATCCACTATCAGCACCTGACACCTCGAAAACAGGAAAAAGGTTTCAGCAGGCGTGCAGATGTGTCGGGGAGTTCGGGGGCGGAGCATGGCCGGGGCTTTTAAAACCCCTCACAGCGAAGCCCCGGCTTCACTCCTCTGAGAAGAGACCAGCCCCGTCTCCACCATGTCCTACTACGAGGTAAGGGGCGGCCCTGTCAAGCCGCAGGTTCCAGGGAACTCCTTCGTTTCTGATCCCCTTCTCCTTCGCAATGTTCTTCCAGCACATCATCTTCGACTACGAGAATGACACCAGCTCCGGTTCCGGTTCTGGGGAGGAGGGAGCGGAGCTGGAGGAGCCCTGTAACGTGGAGCACGTGATGACGGCCGAGCTGCAGCAGGTCTTCCTGCCCGTGGTCTACTCGCTCATCTTCGTTCTGGGCATCACCGGAAACGGCCTGGTGGTGGTGGTGCTGGGCTGCCAGCGCAGGTGAGACCTCCGGCCCTGGTGGATATCAGGATTTATGTAGAGAGAGGGCAGCGAGTGATTGTGAGATCCATCCATCCATCCATTATCGTGACCACTTATTCCCCAATGGGGTCATAGGGAGAACTATCCCAATGGTCAATGGGCAAGAGGCAGGGTAGTAGGGTACACCCTAGACAGTCCATCGCAGGTGAGCGTGACAATGAATGGATTTCCTTCCTTTTTTCTGTCCCTGAAGGTCCAAGTGCAGCCTGACCGATCGCTACCGTCTCCACCTCTCCGCCGCCGACCTCCTCTTCGTCCTGGCGCTCCCGTTCTGGGCGGTGGACGCGGCCCTGAACGAGTGGCGCTTCGGAGCGGCCACCTGCGTCGGGGTGCACGTCATCTACACGGTCAACCTGTACGGCAGCGTGCTCATCCTGGCCTTCATCAGCCTGGACCGCTACCTGGCCGTGGTCAGGGCCACCGACACCAACACGGGGGGCCTGAGGCAGCTGCTGGCCCACAGGCTGGTGTATGTGGGTGCGTGTCCGGGAACCGAGCCTCCACCTCTTCCCACCTCGTCTCTCTTTTTATTCCGACATCTCACCGCTCTTTTCCGCCCTCTCCCTGTCCGCAGGCGCCTGGCTCCCCTCCTGTCTTCTGGCCGTCCCGGATATGATATTCGCCCGGACCCAGGAGGGCGGAGAGGGCTCCACCGTGTGCCAGCGGTTCTACCCGGCGGACAGCGCGCCCCTCTGGGTGGCGGTGTTCCACCTGCAGCTGGTGCTGGTGGGCCTGGTCATCCCCGGCCTGGTCCTCCTGGTCTGCTACTGCGTCATCGTCACCCGACTGACCCGCGGCCCGCTGGGCGGCCAGAGGCAGAAGCGGCGGGCGGTGCGGACCACCATCGCCCTGGTGCTCTGCTTCTTCGTGTGCTGGCTCCCCTACGGGACGGGCATCTCGGTGGACGCCCTGCTGCGGCTGGAGGTCCTGCCGCGGAGCTGCCGGCTGGAGGCCGTGCTGGGCGTGTGGCTGGCGGTGGCCGAGCCCATGGCGTTCGCCCACTGCTGCCTGAACCCGCTGCTCTACGCCTTCCTCGGGGCCGGATTCAAGAGCTCGGCCCGCCGGGCCCTTGCGCTCAGCCGGGGGTCCAGTTTGAAGGTTCTACCCCGACGGTGCCCCGGGACCTCCACGACCACGGAGTCCGAGTCGTCCAGTTTGCACTCCAGCTAGTGCCTCCATCTGTGTGTGTGGGTGTGTGTGTGTGTGTTGTACATACTGTAATATATCACTGAAAGCTTATTCATAGTATCTGATCAAAAAGGAGCTGTCTGCTGGACCATGACGTGTCTTCTTCTTCTTCACTTTTGTAAATAGTGTTGATATACATGCAACTGTGCTCATATACATGTTGTACATGTTGGAAATAAAACACACAAGTAATTCACGTTTGGGCTTCTCTGTTTTGTTTCTTTTGGCTCTCTTTTGCTTCCTGATTGAAACAGAGAATTTCTGGCTTGCACTTCAATCAACCAACCGCAGCTATTGCCACGCTCACGAGCTCTGATAAGTGCTGTCGGAGCTCCTAACTGCGCGAATAATCCAGTGCCAAGCTCAATAATGGCGGAAGGGCTGAAGCCGTTCAGTTTTATCACAAAAAAACACAACGAAAACAATACAGGAGAAGTGGAAAGGCGAGCACGGAGAGCCTAAATAACATAGATTCCTCCTTAAAAAGTTGCCCTTTTCTTTCCATTTAGTCGTATTAATAGGAATGAGAAGAATGACATTTTCAGGACAATGTGACAAAGTTGATGATTCACGAGATCATCAGAGGGGGTGGGGGGGGGGGCCAAAAAGCCTCAAGGTGTGTCGTCTTATTAACGATCAGCTTTTCTCCTGCATTCATTATCACTCAACTGCATGACACCTGAATTCACTGAGCCGGAGCAAACTGAAACCGTGACGCGTGATAGCCAGGTGTGTGAGTCAGTGTTCATCAGGCAGAGAGTGTATGTGGATGTGGATGTGTGTGTGTGCGTGTGTGTGTGTGTTTTTAAATGTAGGTGCTAATGAGATTTATGTTGATGATATAAACATAATGCTTCTTTTCCATGAGAGAGGAGGAAGCCCGAGGCGGTCGGTTCATTTCCAGCACTTTAAAGCAACACATACAAAGCAGCGCTTCCCACATACCTACTTCCATTTGGAAGTGAGAGAAACAGAAGCTGGAAGTTTACTGTGTCCTGTTTCCTGGAGCGACGAGGAGAGGAGAAGGAGAAGTTGAAGAGGAGAGCTGTTTGCGTGAGAGAGAGAGAGGGAGAGAGAGAGAGAGAGAACTGAATAACCCAAAGGAAGGTAGTCCCTGTCATTGGGAGGAACCTCCATCCATACATCAGCATCTATAACCAGCCATGAAGTGAATTGTACACATATAGAATCAGATGTATATACAAGTGCATGTGGAAAACACAGCTTACCTGGTCCCTTTTTTCGGTTTCGCCATCCTTCCTTCCTTCCCCCATCCCCCTTCAACACATTCACAGATACATGCAAAAAAAGAAAGAGAAAAAAAAAAAAACAGTGCACATACACCCACACACTCACACACAAACACACACGATTCTCTTCTATTCATAGCGTATTCAAAACAGGAAAGACTTCCTGCAGCTCATTTTAGGAAAAACAAGCAGCTAAAACAATCAAACATGCAAGCAGCTCCGTTAACCCATCAGCCCGGAGAGCTGCGAGCAGAAGAGGAGAGCTCAGCCTCTCATTCATCTGAAAAGATTACATTGCTTTCTGATTCCACTCCTCTGTGTCCACATTTTGAGCCGTGTTCCCCTCAAAACAGATGTTAGATTTTTCTCCTTAACCAGAACTACCAAATACACTTAAGCTGATAACACTGATGAGAGGTTCACCATCCACCTCAGTCTCCCTGAGCCCAGCTCTCCTCTCCGCATCACTCTCTCCAGCTGACACCTTTTTTTAACTGTTTTCATGTCAATTTCCCTCTTTTCCTGTGAGGACATGATTAGACTTCCCCCTGACATCACTTGGGGACAATATATTTGCCGTCTCAGTGCAGTGAAATATAACCAGATGCTTCTTTTTTTGCCCTCTTTGCTGTTTCAGCTGAAAAATAGACTCAATCACATGGAGCAAAGACACATTTAACACGGTAAAACAAACCAAATCACTGCTTATAAACTGAGCTAAAGCTACTAAGCCAGTTTAGGGATCTTTTTGTGTCAAATGTAACAAACCGTATGCAACTAACCGGAAAAATATTAAATATTCATCATGGTAAACGGATACACAGTTAGAAAAAAAACAGCAAACTTTAAAGCTGACCGTTTGAGATGAGTGGATATAATACTAAATCAATATTACCTTGGACAAAATTTGGAAAAGAACCTGGCCTTTCCCACATATGAAGCTATTTGAACACCAATCGGGAACTGATCAGCTTACAGTGATTTCAGTGTCAACGACAATGTGTTTGTGTCTGCGTGTGCTTTCACGCTCACGGAGGAAAAACATCCTTTGTGTGAGTTTAGCTGCACAAGGTTATTTACCAAGGAAGATCTTATGCTCCAGAGAGTATTGAAAGGTCCAATATTGTAATAAGAATGAAGGGGAAAGGGGCAGAAATCCGTAGCAGCCAAACTTTCCATTTACCTCACTACATCAGGTTACTCACATATGTAATAAATGTGCATGTATGTATTTATGCACACATCTGACAACTTGATAAGAGACTAAGTTTGCACTTCTATGCAGGTCTGCCTTACATATTACTGTAGGTGTGGTTTGATTCCCACTCCAGGGTGGTTATGGACTGTTTTTTTCCACTTTTTCTGGCAGTTTTCCTCCTGCCCCATATCTTTTACTAACTAATTTTAGAAAAAGGAGCCAAAGACAAGTTGACAAAAGGGCTTTTTTCTAAAAATATATTTTTTAACCTAAACCTAAAATCCGTCCTATGGGACGCTGTTGCTCACCCAACACGTTTACTGTGAGGCCAGTGATGCTGAAAGGCAAGTGTCCGACCATATTTTTTCCTTTTCACAGCTTTGCACGTAAACCTTTAACTAAAATTGAGTTTTCACAACATTATGGGGTTCCTCATGAGATAGATGTGGTTGTTGTGGAGAGGTTTGTTTACATGTGGACGGAGGTTCATATCCTCCATTTGGCAGCGCTGCGCTCTTCGTCTCCTCCGGCTGAGTGCACACTTCTTCCAGTTTGACATCTCGATTGTTTGGGAGCAGCTCGAGTGCTGCTTGCTGACCCTGCCAGTCATGGAAAAGCCATTGTTTGCCCTGAGAATACTTCTTTGTGGTTTTTGTCGCTGCGTTTTTTTTAAAACATGCGCCTTGATGTGGTGACCCGAAATCGGGAATTTGGCGACAAGAAAGGCTGTAATTCATGCTCTGTTCATCCATTGTGGGTACAAGGGGCCTCAACTCGACCCATTTCGGTTTCAGATTTAGAGCACAGGAGTTTTCCACCAAAACAATGATGATGTGTCACTGACTGTATACAAATACCAACCAGGAAACAACTCTTTTGAAAGAAAAAAGGTCTTCATATCCTGCTTCTTTTACAAATGTTTGCACCCATTGTTGTGTTTTTCACCTGTGCCCACAAATCTGTACCATCAAAGGTTTCATTTCTGCAAAAATCAGCCTCTATACAAGAGTTTTGATCACAGACGGTGTTAATCCTGCATCTAGAGACGGGTTTGGGGCTCATCTTACCACTACTAATTGCGGTGGTAGCAGTTTATCTCTCATTGCTAAATAACAACTCCACTTTTCTGCATGCTTTTGGAGACTCGCTGCAGCTCTGGGCTTTGATGCTGTGGTTCATGCGAGTCGGTGTCTGTGTGTGTCTGAGTGTGTGTGTGTGCCTACAGATGGTCGGGTTCCCTCATATTCAGACAAGCTGAGTTTCCTGCCGCTGAACAATCGTGGGAACGCCAGAGGTCAAGACAAAAGGAGAAATAAAGTGACTGGTTCGCGTCCAAATGGCCTGCAATAACTTCCTGCTTTGTTCCTGGTGGGTTCATACAATGTGACAGGTGAAACCAATAGCCTGCCAGGAGTGTTTGTATTGACCGCAGCAGGTGTAGGCGTGAGAATGATTGGGGGGGGGGGTGAGTCAGGAATAGTCATCCTTGAAGTTGAATTGTAGAAATCAGCATTTAGCCTCACAGATGGTCCTGAGAGAGGTGCCTGTAAACGATGCACGTCAGGGGGAGACATTTGAGGATATCACTCTCTGTATGATTCACGTTGATTTCCTTGTTATCGTGTAGTTTTTCTGCCGCTTTAGCGATTGCGGGGAGTTTTGTTTGACGATCCATCCAGCTGCATTGTCGTCATCATAGGCCAATAACTGGAAAAAAAACCAGCAAGTCAGGTTGGTTGTTTGTAACACGGACGATATGAGAACCATGGGATAAGAACTGGAAGAACATGCACACACACAAATAAAGAAAGACAGATAGACAAAACAAACTGCATTTTACAGCCGCAAAGACCCATGAAATGTGCAGCCATCCCCACTATATATGCAGTTTGTCAAACTGTTTGTCAAACATGGGTAAAATACATTTTTTCATGGCTAGAATTTTTTTTTATTTCAATCAGGAAGTATATGACTGGTCATGTGTGGAAATTGTTAACATAGACTGATGTTAGATTGATTTAAATTGAAATATTTTGCAATATATCACACAAATAACCTCTTACTATGGAAACAATTTACTCTCAGTTTATCTATTTTTAAGAAAGGACAGATCATGTTTTTTTGGGATTGTAGCCAGAATAAAGGAAGCAGAGATTAAAATTGGAATCACCAACAGATTTTATGAAGGTTCGCTGCCATCTAATGATCATAATGAGGAACTACAACTGATAAACCATGCATGCATTCTGTGCAAATGAAAATGTTTTGGTATCTACAGCAATGATAGCTTATCAACTTTCACTAATGGGTAAACTACGGATGGAAAAGATTCTATTTTTGACTGCAAATATTTTCCCCAATGCATTCCTCCCATGCAGCTCAACCTTGTGTGGTCCCTGGCTAATGGCTGATACATGCACTTGGACATCAACCGTGGCAGGAGCTTCCTGAAGTCCGCTGATGGCATTCTTGAGGATTGTTGGAGACTTTTTTTGTCAAACATTTCAACTCTTTGACTGGGCATGCTATAATGGCCTGTTGGTAATTCGATTTCCCCGACAATGATATAGCTGATTATGAGAAAGAATGTAGCTCTTCATAAAGACTCTGCAGCTTATTTTCTGCACTTTCTGCACCTGCAACAGTCAAATAACCAGAAAAGAAAGTTAAAGCAAGTGCCTTTTATGATACCCTCATATTTTCCTCTCAAGAACATGCTTATCTAATGATTATGTTGCCAATATAACCCTTCAAATCTTCTTATTTCATTGTAACATATATTTTACCCTACTGTTATTTGTGACCATTTAATGAGAAATTTAATGGAAATACAGCTTGTAAGCAAACCTAAATAAAGTTTGAACATTATCAGCAACTTCCAGGGACCATTTTTATTATCCAGAACAGTCTGAATCCTCTTGAAGAAGCTTTCTGTCAGGCTGTTTGAAAGACAACCCAAAACTCCTTGGATGTTCTCTGCCTTTTAGTCTGTTCTGTCAAGATGATCCCAAACTGCTTCATGAGTGTTGAGATCAACACTCTGGGGAATATTCTTCCTTTTACCATTGATTTTCAGTCCACTCATCGTATCATCAGTCATGCATTGTTTCCCAGTTTCTATTCCTTAGGGATGATTCTTGACAGCTACCTTTCCATTCACATTTTCTGATGCGGCTTCAGATCTGATACACGTTTCAGCTTCTTTGACAGGGTTTTATTGATCTGTTTCCTCTACCTTGAGGACATCACTCTTAGATTCTGTTTTATCTGCAGTCGATGGTATTTCAGACCTGACACACCTTCTATTTCATGGATGCTAATCTGTGTTATCTTTACTTTTTATGTAAATGCTTTTAAAGACACGAGAATGAAAAGTTGATACTTATTTGGTGGCACTTATTTAACTTTAAGTTGTTTCTTGTATGTGAATAACTACAGGGAATATGTGTTTCTCCACAAAAAAAGGATGTTGCATTGACTGGACAGCCACCTCTGGCTTGTTTTCATATATTTCGCTGGGTTTTTATGTTGTCTCAACTCCACGCACGCCCCTGGTGGGGTTGGGGGGACACGATAAAGAAAAGGGCAGACGTCGTTTCCGCCTTTTCTCAGCCGCTCTGAACCCGTCGACGCGGATTGGCCGGGAGCGGCGCGCCAAACGTCACGTGGTCTCAATTTTTCGCGCGAAACGGAGCTCCGCTTTGGGGGGAAGTCAGCGCGTGCTGTGTAAAACTGCCTGGAGAGGAGCTGTCCGGGACTTTTTTTGTAGACGTTTGAGAGGCTTTGTGAGGCTTTTGACCGCAGCATGGACGTGGCTACCGCCGCCGCGGAGGCCGCCGGGGCCACCGTAAAGGACGAGCTGGCCGAGAAGTGCCAGAAGCTTTTCCAGGCTTTCCTCGAGGAGTAAGTGTGTGTGTGTTTGTGTGTGAGGAGCACCGGCCGTCGTCGTGTTGCTTTTCCGCCCGGAAAAGTTTTCGGGTTCGGCGACGTGTTTTTGTGTCTGAGCGTGTCTAACCGGGACTTGTCTTTAGGTTTCACACCGGGGATGGCGAGGTGAAGTACGTCCGCGAGGCCGAGGAGCTGATCAGGCCGGAGAGAAACACTCTTCTGGTCAGCTTTGTTGACCTGGAGGGCTTCAACCAGGAGCTGGCCACCACCATTCAGGAGGAGTACTACAGGTACTGTTGATAATCTGAAAATAGTCCTCAGATCTTAAGTTTGAACGTGGATCGCACCAGTCCTGTTAAAAAGATCTCACTGACTGATGTGAGGCATAAGCCTAGAAGCTTAAAAACCAAACAAATGACAGTTTCCTTTCAATACCAGACCAACACTGAAATAATTTGACTCTCAGTATGCCAATCCCTCCTTTTGTTAACACTTACAAAACATATGTCATGCTTAGACTCAAGCCGGCCTGAGCAGTGGGTTAAGCTGAGTGTTTATGTGTGTGTGTGTGTTTCAGAGTGTATCCGTACCTCTGCCGGGCAGTGCGGAACTTTGCCCGGGATCACGGGAACGTCCCCCTCAACAAGGAGTTCTACGTGGCCCTGGAGGAGCTGCCCACCCGACACAAGTGAGCGCAAACGGCCGTAAACGGCGGCGCCGTGCGCAGAGAGGCAAACAATCCTCACGGTTGTGCGTTTTGATTCAGGATCCGGGAGCTGTCCTCCATGCGCATCGGCACCCTGGTGAGGATCAGCGGTCAGGTGGTGAGGACCCACCCGGTCCACCCCGAGCTGGTGAGTGGCCTCAGGGAGCCCTCTGGGGTTTGTTTGTGTTTTTTTTTTTGTTTTTTTTTTGCTGGATCTCGGTGGTTGAGGTGCTGGCTGCTCTGTGGTCGCAGGTGAGCGGCACCTTCCTGTGCATGGACTGCCAGGCGGTGGTCAAAGACGTCCCCCAGCAGTTCAAGTACTCCCCGCCCACCATCTGCAGGAACCCCGTCTGCAACAACCGCTCCCGCTTCCACCTGGACACGCACAAGTCCAAGTTCGTGGACTTTCAGAAGGTAGCCGGCGCCCGTTCGGCGGGTTGGCGTGAGCGAGGCCCCCCCCCCCCCCCGGCTGGTGGGCCTGACCCCTCTGTGGTGCGTTCAGGTGCGGATCCAGGAGACGCAGGCGGAGCTGCCCCGCGGCTCCATCCCCCGCTCCCTGGAGATCATCCTGCGGGCGGAGGCGGTGGAGACGGCTCAGGCCGGAGACCGCTGCGACTTCACGGGGACCCTCATCGTCGTGCCGGACGTCTCCCAGCTCACCACCCCCGGTATGGGCCGCGTCCCACCCAGCAGAGGTTGGTGGTTTTCACCTCTCCGGCTTTTAAATCCTCTATGCCGGTGTTTTTAATTCCAGGTGTTCGATCGGAGACCAGCAACCGCGTCCCGGGAGGCCGGCAGGGCTTCGAGTCGGAGGGTCTGAGGGGACTGAAGGCTCTGGGGGTCAGAGAGCTGTCTTACAGGTTGGCCTTTCTGGCCTGCAACGTGGCCCCGACCAACCCCAGGGTAGGACAGACTCGCAGGAAATGAGGGGAAAAAAGTTCCAAACGCGCGCGGTACCGAGCACGAAATTGTCGCTTGTGTTGTAGTTTGGCGGCAAAGAGCTGCGGGACGAGGAGCAAACGGCCGAGAGCATCAAGAGCCAGATGACGGAGAAGGAGTGGGAGAAGGTGTTCGAAATGAGCCAGGATAAGAACTTGTACCACAACCTCTGCACCAGCCTCTTCCCCACCATCCACGGTCAGTGGTCAGAGGCTCTGCTCAGGCAGACCCGTTAAAGTTTGTCAGCCAGGCGTTTTCAAAAGACCGATCGCAAAGTCCATCAATTTAAAAAGAAAAGGTGTTCCTTATGCACATACCATTAATAATTTCCCTCTGGGATTATTAAAGTATTTCTGATTCTGATTACAGCCGAAATCAGTGTATCTGAGTTTGCTTCTTGGCGATAATGGGACATATAAAATTCAAGATTTGTTTCAAATTGAGTGTGACAGCCAGGAAAGCCATCACCAGGAAATGGCTCAGCCCCCAAACAGCAACGCTAAATCATTAGTTTGATATCATATGTGATATTTTCAACCTAGAGAGGAAAATGTTTCATACCAGATTGCGACAAGACAAATTTGAGGAAAAATGTAAGAGGGGGATTATGTTTATTGCAACTTTAAGGGAAGACTTTACTTAAATCTGATGTAAATGGTGTATTGTACATTATATACATGATGTACATTGATGTCACCCCCCATGCTTTATATTTTACATTTAGTCCCTTTTGTACCAACAAAAACTTTTAAAATAAAGAATTTCAAATGACCAATCGCGCAGGCAACGACGAGGTGAAGCGCGGCATCCTGCTGATGCTGTTCGGAGGCGTTCCCAAGACCACCATGGAGGGAACCTCCCTGAGGGGCGACGTCAACGTCTGCATCGTGGGGGACCCCAGCACCGCCAAGAGCCAGTTCCTGAAGTAGGCGACGAAAACCCCCCCGTCTTCTTCAGCCCTCGGCCGAGAAGTCCCTTTTTTCTGACCTAAACCCTTGTGCGCAGGCACGTGGAGGAGTTCAGCCCCCGAGCGGTGTACACCAGCGGCAAAGCCAGCAGCGCCGCCGGTCTGACGGCCGCCGTGGTCCGGGACGAGGAGTCGCACGAGTTTGTGATCGAGGCCGGCGCCCTGATGCTGGCGGACAACGTGAGTGGCACCCGTCTCAGCGGCGAGCTCGCAAGCTCTTTACCCGCGCCCTAAGCCGCCACCTCGGGTTTTCAGGGGGTGTGCTGCATCGACGAGTTCGACAAGATGGACCTGAAGGACCAGGTGGCCATCCACGAGGCCATGGAGCAGCAGACCATCAGCATCACCAAGGCCGGAGTCAAGGTAACGCCGGGACGCTTGAAGTGACCTTTTGGGTCGCCTCGTGCTAGTCTCGAGAAGCCTCAATGAGAAAAATGTCGCCTTCAGGCCACCCTGAACGCCCGCACGTCCATCCTGGCCGCCGCCAACCCGGTCAACGGGCGCTACGACCGCAGCAAGAGCCTGAAGCAGAACGTCAACCTGAGCGCCCCCATCATGAGCCGCTTCGACCTCTTCTTCATCCTGGTGGACGACTGCAACGAGGTGTGTGCCTACACATCGAGGGGATAGGTGTAGGGGTAGAGTTATGGGTAGGTTTAGGGGTAGAGGTAAGTTTAGGGGTAGA